TAAATCAAACGTTCAACTGAATCTACAAATGAATAGTGACTTTTAAAATATTTAAGAAATTAATAAAAATTTGTGCTGCAATTTTGGAATAAGGTACTGCGCAAATTATTAAATAAATATTACTGTTCGTCAAATTAACCAAATTTTCATATATGCACTACAAGCATGGACATTAATAATAATCAAAATGTGATTGGGTAAGAAAGATTAGAGAAAAAAAAATTGAAAAAAGAACAATTATTATTCTAAAAGAAATTAATTACATCATCGTTTAGTAGCGCGTGTTTCCTCCTCTTGCCTTCACTACTTCTTGAAGACGCCTCGGTATACTTTCCAACAGTCGGGAAATGTCCCTTTGCTGGAGGATAGCACATTCCTCCCGAAGAGCCCTTTCAAGGTCCTGCAGTGTATCAGGAAGTGTTGCACGCGCTCTTATTCGTCTTCCGAGGTTATCCCATAAATGCTCAATGGGGTTCAAATCTGGAGAACGTGCTGGCCAGGCTAAAACCTCAATATTATTCTGTTGAAGGAACGTCTGCACTATGCGGGCGACATGTGGGCGTGCATTATCGTGAATTAGAATAGAACGATCGCCGATTTCGTTGAGGATAGGCAACACATGAGGTTCCAAAATCTCATCTACATAGCGAATGGCCGTCAAAGACCCTCCACGAACAACAACCAATTCTGTGCGGCGCTCCATTGAAATCCCAGCCCACACCATTAAGGAACCACGTTGGAAAGGTTGGCTCTGGGAAAAATTACAGGCTGCATATCTGTCGTTTCTTCTTCTCCACACCCTTTCACGCCCGTCTGGAGATCGAAGAGCGAATCTTGACTCATCTGTAAAAAGTACAGCACTCCATTCGTCCATAGTCCAATGGCTGTGTTCTCGAGCAAAAGCCAGCCGTGTTACTCTGTGAGTTCTGGTCAACTCTGGTCCTCTTACTGGACGAAAAGCCATTAATCCATACTCATTTAATCTTCTCCGAGCGGTACGTTCAGAAATTTGCACACCTCGAACTTCTTCGAGCTGATGAATCGCTTGAACAACGGTAAGGTGCCGGTTTCGTAAAATTCTCAAAGTCAAAAACCGGTCATCCCGTGGTTCTGTTACCCTAGGCCGTCCAGAACCGGGCCTTCTATTGTAAGAACCAGTTTCCCGAAAACGCCTGACGGCGTCTCGTAAAGTTTCATATGGAACTCCGATGGCATTAGCTGCATATCTAATGGAACGTCCATCATCAATAAGTGCCACACCACGCGCAACATCCTCAGCACTAAGAGGCATTTTTAAACTTAATATTGAAAAAATTAAAAGCCGGAGACTAAGAAATGTGCTGCAAGAAACGGCACTGAACTAATGATACTGAATAAACATTTTGATTCCATAGAAAGTAAACATTGGAATCTAGAATCATTTCATTGAATTAAGGATTAAGAGTTATTGTCCTCTATATTAACATTCCTAATTGAAAACAAACAAAAGATTACTTATTTATTCATTAAAATTAATAGACCAATCCAAAGCAGAAATATTTTTAGATGAAAAAATCAAGTGGGTGGAATTTTTTGCCTGTCAGTGTATTATATCACACATCTCAAAAATTCCCTTAACTCTGTTTTGGGGGTTCTTAAAAACAAATAAAATGCGACCATCCTCCTACGACGACCTTCACTAAAATGCAAAGTCTTTTATTTTCGGAAAAAATAGACCTAAAAAGGGTCATTTTAAATGGTAAAAAGCGAATAACTGAGTATAGTTGATTCATAAACTATTTCAATGGGTATGAAACGTTTTGGATAGCCCACACTTAATAAAACATCAGCAAAAACAGTTGTTTGAGAGCTATATATAATATATTAAAAACCAATATATCATTGATCATGATTAATTTACAACTCACCTCAATTGTTAATAAAATACATTTCTTAAAAAACAGATTAATAATACGAAAATAGTTGTAGTTTGGTCTAGATTTAATTATAAGTATCTAATATGATTAGATGGACTCCGTTTTCAAAGGGATTAGCTATTGGCGCCTGACGCTTTAATTTGATATGAACCCATTCGTTCCTTCCCGAACGTTCATCTAGTGTGTAAAGCAGCAACGAGTATAAGTTAAATTTTAAGACACATTTAGACATTTCACAAGTTATAGGAAACACAATTGTCTAACTTAACCAACAGCGACATTATTGCTAAATCAAGCTGTTTATTTTATTTCTCTTGATACTGACAGCAAATGAAGAATATCAAAAAGCAAGAAACAGAAATACTAGCATATTGAAATAACCATTTATATATTTGTTTATTCCATAGTTTGTGAACTGTCTAAACGCACCTTAAGGATATGAAAAAATTTTTGTGATATCTTTTATAAGTGAAATAATAATTTCATCAGTGGCACACTGCGTTTGGGGGTTGCAAATATGATAATTTAAAACATGCTGTGTTTTTTTCTTAAGCATAACAATACAATAAATTTCTTACCTTGACGATAGCATCTTCAGTGTGCAATTGTTATCTCACTGGATTCCTAAAGAAAGCGCCATGCTGTTATATATATTCACTAACAGTTTGTTATTTAAATCTCTCTTATTTTCATTATGTTTCGAGTTAATGTTATTTTTCTCAACTCATAAATGTAAATTTGAAATTTAAACGAATGTAATTATTTATTATTTGTTTTTCTAAATACAGTACTGTATAATTTAAGCTATGGCATTGGAAAACTGGAGCTATTTCAACATGCCATCGTTGGCTATACTGCTCTTTTTAGGATTTGTGAAAAAAATTGTGTAATGAAATCTGGAATCTACCTATTATGTTTCGGTATGTTTTATTTACATTTTTAAATATTGTCTGTACTGTTATGTCTTAAAAGATTTATATGAGTTCAGAGAAAGGAGTAAGGGTTTGTTTCCTCTTAGCATAGTAATTACTCTTTTGTAAAAACTGATCAACTGAAAGAATGTATTAATTTCAATTTTAGGTAGACATATTAACAAAACTATTTTTTTTAAATATACCACTTTTTCTTAGTTTTTAAGTATGGATGTAAAAAAGATACACCATTATCTATCATCCCTATGAGCGGCAGTTTAACAAATCCCTTTCTTGATTAATATATTATTTGAAGTAGAAAGGAATTTATGGCCAAATACCAATATATTGCAGAAATAAATGTAAAAAGTTGAAGTTATTATTAAGTTTATTTTACCAAATAAAGTACATATAGCCTTAGGATCTGTATGATTTAGATCAAGAATTGACTTGATTCATTTTAAATTTGGATTGATCATGAGAATAATATTAGTTGATCAGGTTGTGATTACGAAAATACTACCGTTTTTCTTAATATTAGTATTAACCTTTTAAAACGTTAAGTTCAGAGGTCATTTATATTTATTGTATATTAATAAATAACATTGTCCATGTAATATTTGATTCATTAAAATGTACTTAGATAGGTATGAATTGTGTTTTGAGGTAATTATGGAACATTGTAGATTAAGTTAACTGCTGCTTTACTATAAAATATTTTATTTTACAGTATTTACATATAAAATAAATAAATTAAACAAAATTCTTTGGCTTTAACAAAAGTACTTATGAGATGTGATTTTAAAATTGTGGTTTTGTATCAGGTAATACAATAGTTTTAGCCAATATAATTCCTAATTATTACATTCATAATTGTAAAACATATGCACATATTTTCAATTTGTTTTGAGTTTGCAATAATATTTCCTTGTATTGAAGTACATACAATGGTTTTAGTATGTCAATACAAATTTCTTATTTTCTATCACTGTACTGAAAATTCATTCATTAGATTAACAAAAAAAAAAACTTTATTTATCTTTTTTTTGTTATTTAAGGCTTGTGGGTACATGTTTCTGGGGAGTTCATAACATAATCTATATTCTACATCTAATGGTTATTCTTTCCTCCCATACATTATGTTTTTAAGAAATTCTTGAAATAAATAATTTGTGATTTTCTTCTAATAATCTTCTAATTGGTATTACCCTAAAATATATAAATAAAAATATATATTATATATCATGATTCTGAAATTTCCTACACTTTTTCTGTAATAAGTTGTGAGTTTGACATTATTACCTAATGGAAGTTTAAGGAAACAAAAAAGTGCATATTGTAGTAGTTTTTAAAGCACTTATTTAATATTTTTTGGTTCTTTCAACTACCAACATATAATAAATGTATCAACTTTCAATATTCGTAAACAACTCAAATTATAAAAAAGCATGTAGTAATGGGGATTTGGAATTTGGGTCATATGTTTCATTTGTTATTGAAATTACAATTGTCTTGTAGGGATGTAGTCTTCAATATTATTTTATGTTATTAATCTAAAGCCATGTTTTAGGGAGTGTTATAAATGACAGTCTTTAATCGATTCGTGAGTGTTTTACCTAGGGAATTGTGAGTTAAATCAAGAAATTGTTCTCTGTCAGTATTCATCCATTTCTAGGTAAGTTTGATTATGCTTTATTTCATTACTTATTTTGTTTTATTAATATATAATGAAGAAAAAACATTTATATCATGTCTTTATATAATTAACCTATTATCAATGCGAATTAAGTCAACAAAATTAGGTGTGTAGTGTAAGTTTTATAATTTAATTTTGTTAAATAATTCTTGATACACATTTTATATATGTTTTAATGTTGTTTTTGTTTTTACATAAAATAGCTACTTATTAGTATCACAAATTAACTAAAAAATTCACTTAGTCACTGGAATAAGTTATAATGGAAGTTACCACTATTATAATTTTTGAGAATAATTATAAATATTATATTCTAGTTTTGTTACTTAACGTAATTTATTTTTATAAAAGGAACTTATTTATTTAGAAATTATTTTTAAAAATAAATAATCAATAAATTTTTAATCACGTGAAAGTATTTTGGAATAAAATAAGTTTGTATTTTCTATTTTGAATTCTTTTATTTTTCACTGTTGTGTAGATTCGTCACAACTTTTTAACGTTCAATTATATTGATGGCCAACATTATATATTTATTATTAATGTAGTAGTAAATAATTGAGATTTCTGTTGAGTTACAGAAACTAATTTTTAACTAAAGAATGAGTTTTGAAATTATCACATCATGTTTTGGTCTGGTATTTGCAATGTTATTAGATCGGTATTAGAATATTATTTAAACTTGTCATATGTGTTTTAATCATGTCCTTCAAAGGCTCTTATGTATTAGACTTGATAACAGATCTTATCCAGTCTGAAGTGAACTGAACTTTATGGTATATCCCGGGTTGATGATCAACTGCACAGCCAAATCCTGCTGATGTTATACCTGCTAGTGTCCAACGTCCTTCATCTTGTACAATTAAAGGTCCACCACTATCACCCTGAAAAATTTAGTTGTTACATTAAAAGATTTTGTATTGGATGTAGATATGATTGTTTTTACTGAGGTGTTAGAATGATTAAAGCCAGGCATCTGACTAAAAGCAAGTTTCTAAGCTCAGCACCACAGGTGGATGCACGGGGAGAGGGAGAGAAGGAGGGGTTTTTGTGCTGAAGCCCTCCCCCCAAAATGGTAAAATGTAACCATGTTTTATGGCAAAAAATATTAAAACATTATCTCTTAAAGTATTATTGTTCGTGTAATTACATTTAATAGGACTTCAAAAATCACATAAACACCATTTCATATATGTAGATAGTATCTTTTTTTTTTTTAGAGTAGTTATCGTTATATATATGAAAAAAAAAACTTTCGGGCTGAATCCTCCCCTAAAATGAAATCCTGGATCTGCTAGTGCTCAGCACTAATTCCTTTGAATCCAGTAGCAATTTATGTTGAGTTTAGACACGACCTGCTGAATTCATGTGTAAGATTAATACTCCTGGAAATAACAAAACAAAAAAAAAGTCTGATGCTTCCACTCACACAAGTTTTCTACTAATTTTAGACAAATTTATACAACTTTAAATATGCCCATTGAAAACAAAAAAAAATTGAATTAGAGTAATTTTCCTGGAAACCGGTCAGATAAATGATAAACTTTGATGAAATAAAGAAATGTAAATGAGCGTATGAACCATAATTAAAATCAGCTTGTAAAAGTCAATACACTGTAATTTTGCTAAAACTGGTCAAATTTAATTGATTTTTTAAATGGGCTCAAATGTGTTTTCAGACTCAGTAGCTCAGAAATATTGGGAACCAGTCTATGGAAAGTTTCATCAAAATTATTAGAGCTGTTGTTAGAGTCTATAGGAAAAACATGTTTTTTCTTATTGCACTGCCACTATTGTTCAAGTTCTAAATTTGTTTCACAGTCATCGGTAGTCAAAACAAGAAGCAACTAAATTGGTCAGTATTATTAGCTAAAATGGTTTCAAAACACTCAGAGGATCTCGCTGAATAGCTTGAGCCATCAAACTTTAAAAGTGATCCGGCTTTCTCCAAGCAGCATCACACAGCTTTTAGAAGATAACCCAAAAACATAACCATCATGTCGCTTCGCTTAGTTGCATAAAAAGAGAATATTTATAGCCTCACTGCAAAAACCTGTTAGGACAATTTTTTTGGAAAATGGGATTTTAAGCTTTTCTGGTTAATCTTGTCCAGGCATGTATTCTGATCTTACAAAATGAAATCTACAATGTTTCTTTTCTTCTATATGGCCTTTTGTAAAAACATTTATCTTAAGAACCAGCAAATTGTGCTGTAAACACTTGTAAGTTACAGTGAAGGTTATAGAGATTATGTCCTTTTAGAAAAAATGTAATGAAATGCTAATGCCAGGTGGTAATGTAAATATAGAATGTATAAAGTGTTTTGCATATAGACTGCTGTATCAATTAGCTTTATTAGTAGACCAAAAATAATTTTGCTCATATGCTTTATATTCTTTTTTTTTTTAATTTCTAATAAGTGGCAGGCACTTCTAGCCTGGATATAGAGCCATCGGCTTCCCCTACACTGAGGCTAGCCCTGCTTACCATGGAACTAGATGAAGCAAAGAAAAGACTGGTAAGTGGGAATATAATATTGGGCAACTTCCAAAACAATTGAAACCTCCTGGCAATTACAAAATGAGCTTGACTGGAAAAAAGTTACAATGCCCCTCAATCCCAGATTGTGAGAGACAGCGAATTGATTTCATTAATTAGAAAATTTAACATGAGATGAGAAAAGAACTTTAATTTCATGGTAGATAGATCTTTTCAAACCAATGAAGCTTAGAAATGGAGTGATCTACACATCAGCAGTTTATCTACAACTTACCAAAATTCGTGAATCAAACCATGTCCATATGAGTACATTAATAACGAAACTTTAACAGACTACTCCAAAATGGGGCGCATGCACTCCATGCAGGTCTCCTCTACAGTAGGAGACAAAAAAAAGTAAATAATCCGCGTGATCAAATACTCACCTACCAGTCAAATGTATTATAAATTTTCATTTGAAGTATCATTTCTCTACATTTCAGAAACTGACTTTGTTTCTATAATGATTTGATCATAATTAAAAAAGTTATAGCAATACATCTTTGTCTTCAGCCTGTAAAAAAATTGAACCCAAAATACCAAAACATACTCAAAGAACAAATATTACAGAGTTTTTTCGTCTCCTGTAAATTTTTAGTTTTTGTTCTTACTTTTGCAGTGTGACTGGTAATATATTATGATTGTTCAAGTATTTTGCTTAGATCACTCACAAACATAAATAAAAATCAATTAAAAAAAAAATTATGGAGAAGCTTCAGCCCGAATATTCTATAGATCCTGCCATTGTTCTTTTGTAATTAGATTTTTTACTCACATTTTAAAGAACTTAGTGGAGAATATAGCTTGAATAATTTTCAAATTTATCCCTTAAAACTCTTATACAACAAAATAACATTTAAATGTATTTTTGTATCTTTATTCAAACACAGATTACTATACATTTATTAGTAAATAATTCTATAGTTTCAAAATTTTATTTATAGTTAATATACTTACTAGGCAAGCATCCATTCGCCCATCACTGTGACCAGCACAAAACATTTCTTTGTGAAGTTCAACTCTGATGTTTTTATGCCTATGCCATCGTAAACATTCGGCATCAGTAAGAATAGGAACAATTGCTTTTCGTAAAATATTTGTTCCAGTTTTTCCTAAATAATGTTGAATAAAACATTAGAAAACTTGCAAATTTTAATGATTGTATAAAGAATCATTAGAAGTAATTATAACATATTAAAGTTTAAAATTTTTTTTAAAATACTTATGTGAATAATTAGCATTATAAGAAAACGTTTTTTTTTCTCAATAGTCCTACCTCACCATTTCTAGTATTTGGGAGGTTGTTCTAGAGGTATAACCAAACCTGCTCTAACCATAGTGAGAATGTTGAAATTCATTCCGTGGGTGTGCCATAAAATAAATTTTAATTCACCGAGGCTGGATTTGAAACAGCATCATTAGGCCCGAGAATGTCAAAGTTTACGCTTTAACACTCTTGGTTTATGAAAAAAATAAGAACATCCCAGGAGACCTTATCCAAGCAATAAAATCAACATATAAAGATTCTAAGGGTATAGTAAGGATCAGTGGGAAGGAATCAAACAGCTTCAATATGGACAAAGGGGTCAAACAAGGCGACAGTCTCAGCCCCCTACTATATATTGTGTTCATGTATGAGATTCTGAAAATCTGTAAATGAAAGACTGAAAGAACAATTAGAATAGGAAAATGGAATATGAGAACAATTCTACCCCAAGCTCTCGTTTACGCAGATGATATTGTCCTCATAACAGACTCATCCGCAAAATTACAGCAAGCGATTGTGGAATGGGAAGCTGAGCTTGAGAGAAAAGGTATGATCATAAACGAAGAAAAAAGTGAGATTATGCAGATAGGTTGAGAAATCGAAGACATACAAATAAACTGTAGGGTTACCCCGTATAGTCTTAACGGCGAGGAAGGGGAGGACCCAAAAAATAAACTGTAGGGGTAAGAATCTGGAGTTGGTAGAGGAATATACATTGGTAGTTAGTAGAAATGGAAAAATAGACAAAGCGATATCAAACAGGATCAAAAAAGCAAACAGCATCTATTACCAGATCTGCAACACGATCTTAGGAAAACGAGAGGTGGAAAATATAACTAAGATACATATATACATTCCCATCCTACCTTCCAATCCTACTGTATGGTAGTGAGAGGGTATTGGGTCCTTCTAGATAGACAAAAAATTAGACTTACCGCTGCCAAAATGAAATATCTGAGAAGAGTAGCTGGCTGAACTAGAACAGATTGCATCTGAAACTAACGCATTAGAGAAAATGTTAAGGTGCCACCAATGCTGGAAACTGTGGAAAAGAAAACACTCAAATTGTTTGGCCACGTTATAAAGATGGACGAGAACAGGAAACCCAGAAAATTTTTTGAGGCAAGACCCACAGAAAAGAGGACAAGAGGATGCACACGGAAAATTTGATTGATGAAGTGACCAAGCTCGGACAGAAAAGAGGCGAACAGTTGGGTCATATGAGAGACCTGGCGAAGGAGCGTGATGATTGGCATATATGGGCGGAGGCCCCTCCACGCTGAAAGGCACTAAGGAGGAAGACAAAGAAGAAGAAGAAGGTCCACCATGACGACCTCCATGATACCAATACTGATAAGTATTGAAAACATCATTTATTGCTTCTAAATCAATAAAAAACTTAAGGTGTATTTTACCATAGGTAGTATCTGTCTTTCCCCATCCTGCCACCAGTCCAGTTTTTCCTCTTAATGACGTACTTCGCTTTGGAAGACAAATAGGTAGTATGTTTTCTTTGAAAATCACTCCACGGGAGAGTTGTACAAGTGCTACATCAAACCTGTAACCATAACCTGTATAAGTAATTTTTAATAATACGGTGCAGAGAAAGCACCAGTCAACTTTCATTTACCATCCTACTTTGATTAGAAAATAAGTACTTCTATATTTATTCTATATCTATGTTTATCTATAGATAATCTTGTATCTATGTAAGTAAAAATTATATATGACACTTCTCTATTATTATCTTTTATGATTGTAGAATTTATACATATATAATTCTAAAGTATTTAGCTTTTCAATGGTACATAATACATATATAGTATTATTTTTATTTCCGGAAATTTGTGTTCAATCTGAGAAAATATTTCTCCTGTTTTCATCTTTCATTATTGAAATAAATCTTTCAAACTTTATATTTATTCATTATTAATTTCAACCATGAGATATTTTTATATTATGAGATATTCCTAACAAACAGAATGAAAAATACTTTAGTGGAAGCTGTTTTGGAATTTGTGCAGTTAAGCCTTGTCAGACTATTTCAATGAGGTTAATATTAAAGAAAATTTAATTTTAATCTGATATAAGGAGTACAATCAAAATCTCTAGAGCCATTTGTAATGTAGCTAGACCCCCGGACACATTCGCACAAATAGACATTCGCACTCATCCTATTCTTAGAGACTTGATTTATGGTACTATAGAACATAGATTATCCTTAAAAACTCGGATTAGAAATTTTTCACGACAGCAATATTTTTCCTATATATTTCTTATATGGATAAGTGAAGGTAAAAAAGAAACTGAAACAATTATTGATGTGGTTTAAAATTATTTTGTTTTAAGATAGAGTGCTACGAATGGATAGTTTCTTTACAAATCTTTTCATGTCATTATATTTCTCTGAGTCACATTTACTTGATGTACTTTTATTTAATACAGTCGTAAATTTCATGAATAAAAACAAAATTTAGAAATTAATTTCTCTTCGTTGATCGTGGGGGTGTTTAGGAGGAATGTCTTCTTTTAAGTTAATCCCATTCCGGGTTTGGATTATAATTTTGTGCAGCTTCTTAGATTATTCAAAGTATTTGTTTAGCAGAAAGCTTCTCTAGAAATAAAGTAATTATTTAAATAAATACAGAGACTGTCATTGGTAAACAAATATCCTGATCTCCTAAAACATATAAAACAGTCTAAAATTAAGTAAAAAAAATATATTTTTGGCGTCCGCCAGAGGAATCCTGAACATTTACAGAAATAAGAGCAATACAAAAAAATTAATTTTCTAATCATATCTTTTAGGTTCGTTGCCATTTTAAAATTAAAAAAAAAACATTAGGCCAAGGGTCACAAAATATACAGTCATCACATCATGTATATGACTGTATATTTGGTGACCTTTGGCCTAATGTTTTAAAAAAATATTATTTTGGGGATCAAACATACCACGGTACTCAAATAACATAAGACAACAATTTTTCATTTTTGTTCGGAGACCCTCAACGATCCCTAACTAGCTGACATTGCCAGACTAGGCCTGTTTACAACCATTGTCATGTATCTGGAAGGCAGAGCATAATGCCATCCTCTTTCAATGAATTAATATAATAATATAAACTTTTAATAATAATAATATAAATCCTGATAATATTCTTTTATCCTCTACAAAAAGATACATTCTTCTGGAATGCTCATTTTTCTAATGTTTATGAAATACTGATAGTTCTACAATTGTACAGTAATATAAATTTTTAATAATAATAATATAAATCCTGATAATATTTTTTTTATCCTCTACAAAAAGATACATTCTTCTGAAATGCTCATTTTTCTAATGTTTATGAAATACTGATAGTTCTACCATTGTACAGTATAGAAAATAAATTTGTAGTCCTTGAAAATATTATAAAATCACTATACTATGTAAGGATAAAACAAAAACACCAATGGCCCAAGTGTATAAAAGGATCTCTAAATGAATACAACTAACTGACAAATATGACATGTTTCCATACCTATCAGGCTGAGCTAATCTGAATTGGAAGTTAGGATGCACATATTTTTTTATGACTCTGTGCACTTCCTCAGGATATGGTTCATATCCAGTATTTTGAGTATCATATTCACCAAGGTAAACCATTATGTCATTCAGCTGTGCCCTAAAAAAATAATAACAATATGATTAAATGATATTGTGTGGCTATTATTGGAAAAATAAATTTTAATAATAGCTTATTTTACTCATGCATTTAATACCCTGCTCTGTCTGTTAGGCATTATGGGTATTTGCAGTAATGGGAAGTCATTACTGCCCATTGCTCCAAGCGAAACAATTGTTTTTTTTTTTAAATTATATAATAGGTTAAGAATACTTTGAAAATTTATATGATGATCACCTGTGAACACAGTGAGCTGCAGTGATGACATGCTTCCTGCTCACCAATGCCCCACCGCATTGGTAGCCTCCTATTCGAAGGTGAGCTTGCCATGGCAGTTCCCCAAAATATGCTTCGGCTCCCCCGATGATTCGTTTTTGAAGAGTTAGTGCAGGGACTCCACATTCTACTATTGTGAACAGTTTATTCAGTGAAATATGCTTTGTTAGTTTATTTTTATAATTGAATTGATTTTTATAAGAGTTAAAAATATAAAGGAAGGAGATGGTCCGGGTGGTCATAAATAGGCTAAATAGTGACAAAACTATTTTATTAAAAGTCAATGTTTCGACCCGACTCTGCAGATCTTCCTCAGGGAGGTGTGTTCAGCTAGGAGTTTCACTTAGATGACCGCTACCCCGGCCCATCTCCTTCCTTCATAATGCAACGGTCAACTATTAAATATTCAATTAAAAATATTATGTTTTAATTTTATGTTTATTATCTTTCAAATTGGAAACAATAGATTTTGGATAAAATACTGAATGTTGTCATGTTGCTGATAAAAAATAGTACTAAAACTGACATTTTGTTCAAACAAGTTCTTTACAAAATATCCTTGAATATTTTAAATAATAAATAAATAAATTAAATAGAGATTCACACCATATTTTTATTTCATTGATAAATGTTACAGATATATTGTTCTGAAAGTTTGATAATTTTAGAATTTCATACTTCTTGTCTATTTCCTATGTCCACTTTACTGAACTGAAGTCAAGACTTCAGCTCTAATGGTAAACAATAGTTTGTCGGAGGACATGAATATGAGAATAATATGAGCCACATTAAGGTCTAATGTTTAATGGATTTACCGTAGCATAGCCATTGTCCAAATTAATTTGCTTAACGCTGTCACTTATGTAATGGTTTTGCTCTTTGCAGCTCATCAATAGACAAACAGGACCATTTAGTTTTGTGGTATGTTGTAACAATCTTTTAGTTAAAGATTTAGGATGTAGTTTTTTCTTGCTGTGGTAAAAAGATGTTTCATTAACTATTTTGATATCTAATGAAAGTCTATTTTTTGTATAACTGCCAGGTCCTCTCTCCTAATCATTAGTCATAAGTCGTCTTTTCATAGCAGAAGGTTGAGATACCCCACCTAAGGCCTTCTCCGCTTTGTTTGAACATCTTTACAGATTAAGACTGAATCTGCTTTGGTTGCATGAACTATAAAGGTCTTTATGTCTATTTCTGAGAGTGTTGACAGACAGTTAATTGTATTCATTTGGCTCTTTTAAGTTGATCTCTACTTTTCGGTGCAATTTGTTCCTAGGGATTACACAATCTCTGTTGTGATTTATTCTTGATCATTTCTATTTTCATTGGCTATGCTCATTTTTATTTAATAGTTTACTGGTGTGTTTATTCTTCTTGCTTTGGCCTTCCAGCTAAGTATTTTTCTTCTGATCGCCTCAAAAGTAGCTTTCGGAGGTCCAATTGGTTTCATACCTAGGCTCATTGATGGTTGCAGTTCTCTGTTGCAACCACCCTTTGTTTGTAAACATATAGGTGCTGTACCTCCATAACTTTCGACTCCCGTCTCCACTATAATTTAAAGGACCACCCTCTTTACAAGTGGAGGGATGGCAATATTATTGTATTAATATGGTTAAGTTTCTATTATCCAAAAAGAGGCTGCATCTGTTACTATGATGACAAACAACAACTTCATTTCTGTTTATGTATTCCTGATTATACTTGCTGTCTATAAATAAGTCATTATTTATATTTGTAGTAAGTGTTGCCTCTTCCTTTTGATGTTTTAAAAGGAGAACTTGGAAATCTTTACAACCATAGATTTTTAGTTCTTGGATGGCTTATCTTCTTTGATTTTCAATATATTCTTAGTGACCATACTGCCCTTACAGTAAATTAATTAGTAGTATTAAATTTATTATAACCTTACACAGAATACACTGTACCAATTGTCCTGTGATGTCCAGGCCAAGTACCACACCTTAAAAAGTATTTGATTCAATACAAAAGAAAATATTTATGATTAGGTATAAATATACTTTATTTAATTTTCGTTATTATCGGGCTGACCGCTCCATCATTACCGATGGTATGAGAAGGAGCAGCAAAAAGTCGTGGGTTTAAGAACGCCTCTCTATATAAACAATAAATACAAAGCTAATTATATTCACCTCTATCTTGCCTTCTTAGCGAATCGCGCCTCTTGAAGAAGCGGGTAGGAGGAGGGATGATGGGCGTGAAGTAGCAACAGGTGTAGAGCCAGGAGGTGAAGCTGTTCAGGCCCGGGCAGGTACCGCGGCTTACGCCACCCGAGATCCAACACCCCACTGATAGGGCACAGTCGCCCCTGCAGTCATTTCTGGCACCTGGTTATCGAGAATAAAACTGTTATTTATTTGTAAAGTTTTAATAAATATTAATCAGTAGGTTGCTAGTCATTAGTTTGCCCAAAATCGGTCTTGGTCTTGCACTTTGCAAGACCAAAACCAAGGCCGCCTAACTGTTGCAAGACCCAAGACAGGTAAAAAAATCGATTTTTTAAATATAAATTGAGGCAAAATAGTTACTAATACTTGACAGTCTTAGTTACTTATGTTAATAATTGTTATAGCCAATATACTTGTGCATTAAACTCCTCTAATTTTTCATTTGGGCTTACCTAGGTTTCTCCTATTTAAAAAATTACAGTAATATCTCTATAGCAATAAGCTTATATATAACTGCAAGACTCTTGCGCAAGATCAAGACCATGCCCAAGACTGAGTTTGCAAGACCAAAACTCTTCTCGGTCTCGCATTTGGGCAACACTACTAGTCACAAGGAAAATATATAATTGTTAAGATCATCTCTTCCTTTTACAAAGTTTACAACAAAAATGTTCATTTTTTCGCACATACATTATTTTTGTTATTGATCCACTAAATACAGATATAGATCGATTTGTACTTACATTACCTACAAACAAGGAGTCCTAATCGTGATTCGTGCGAGTTACGGGTATACTTATTATGTGTTTTGTATGGACAGAAATTAGGGAATACTGATTTTAAATGACTTTTCCAACTGATTGTTATTGGGATAAATACAAACGCCAAGTATGAGTGATATCTATTTGAGGGAAGTTCTTATTGAAGAAGGAAATCACTTTTAAAATAATGAATGTGTTCCCTCGATGCATATCATTCGTTTTTAAATTCCACTGTCAACATATGTATCATTTTATAAGTGACTTTTTTCTGTTTTGTTCCCCTTCCTCTCCTTTTGGGCTGTACGGTGTTTTCCCGAGCCAGGAAATGAGGGCAGCGAATTAATGCCAAAGTTAAAAGAACTTTGGATGGAACTTTTTATTCTTAAAGCAGGGAGGGCATAAGTGGTTCTCTTGCTTTTGGCTACTTCTTACAGCTGAGGATGCCTCAAGTCTTGATAAAATAAGAGTTTAGATTAGGTATCAGCTGATTCTCAAACACGTTGCTAAGGATGGAGAGGAGGGACATAGACTGGTCTATGTTAATATTAATATTTAATATTATTAAAATCATTGATATTAAATGATTAATATAATATTAATATTTAATTCCTGATTATTTTCCTTAAGATTTATGATAATTTATATATGGATATGGTTTAAAAATGTTCCCTTCTCTAGAAAATTTCTGGATCCTCCACCACTGTATGTAGTGTGTTTATAAGCGATCAGAAAATTTGAATAGGTTTTTGAACCGAAAACAACAAAGAGTAAATGGATATACGCATTGGTTTATGATTTAAAAATAAAATATTCAAAACTAACCGACATATAAATGATAGTCACGGCATTTGTTTCGGATAATGAAAAGAAACTGGATGATAGAACATCATTAGTTTATTATTTACGATTTTGTTTAAAACATATAGTCGTTTATCGTGGCTAATAGTTCCAGCCTCTTCGTCTGTTCTTGTCAGTCCCTTCTCGAAGAAGGCGGCCAAGCCTTCCTCCATATTCTGTAATCATATGTTCCTGGGTCGCCTTTTTGTTGGTTAATACTGAATGATTAATTAATTTTGCTTAATCACTTCTTTAGCGTTATTTGTAAATGTCGAAACCGTTTTAACCATTTTGTTTCAATGTTATACTTTTTATGTTGTTGTACATATGTTCTGCCTAATTGTTTTCTTTGGACATGGCTTTGTTTTCTTGGAACCAGCATGTTCCACATTCTAGCATCTTTAGTAAAGTAACAATTAAAAAAATTAACCATATGCTAGAAGAGCTTTATTCATGACTGCTTATTATATCTTCAATATATTCCTTGATAGATTTTATTCCATTTTAATCGAGTTTAACATAGATTAAAAGTTTTAAAAATGACATATTTAAAGGTTGTCTGAAATCTTCATATTCGAACAAACCATATTTTGTTTTTCTAAGCGATCTTCAATATATTTGGAAAAAACTATTGAAAAAAAAATGGCGACTCTATTGGCGATACGATACATCCAGTTTAGTCGGAGTTGGTATAGACTGTTAATATCACCAAATAACTTTGCATATTTTGGGTACTCGAAATTCTTCACTATCTTTTAGTTCGATGAATAAACATTGCAGTTATCATTCTGTTATTTGATCTGAACTATCTGCTTCTAAATGTACAAGCGTGTATGTATATTTTTCGTGAGCTCAACAATTCCGTCGGTATCAAGATAAATAAAATAAATAATTGTGGATTGATGGTTGACTGAATTGCATAATTGAAGAGAAGAATGGTTAGGGTGATCAGTAAAAAAGATAGTCAAAATAAATAATTATATTTATTTTTACATTTGCTGACGTTTCGGCCCAACGTTCAGGTTTTCACAATTCTCTATCGTTAACGTTTTTTTTTCCTGATCCACCCTAACCATTCTTCTCTTCAATAAAACAAATAGTTTGTGTTTGACATAGTTTGCGAAATGTCTAAATGCGCCATTATTGTCTATACAATTTTTTTTTATGATAAATTAACTATTCAGTTTAACAGTCTGCCTTAAAATTAATGCTTAAATCTAAAAGTTCTTTACGTAATTTTGTAAGGTTTTTAGATAGAATTCAATTTACTCCCTCTCTATCGTTAACGTTCCGGCATTGGAAAATTCGTGAGCTCTATGCCGTTTGAATTTCCCTGGGCTGCTGAATTGTGAAAACATGAATGGTATGCATTGTACTCGCCGGGTTTGCTATCTAGTGTGAAAACGTTTTAAGCCCTATTGAAAAGCCTACTCTCACCTTTCACGATTGAGAAAGCTCATGGAGGCCTCCGGTGTTTAGCCTACCAACACGTCTCTATTACTGGTTTAGTGCCCGCTCTATGAAGTGCTTATGATGAACCCTCGTCAAGCTAAGAGTTCATTATCTGTTATATTAATAATGTAGAATCAAACAGGTTTTGAATTATGTGATTTCTCAAGTACAATTCCTCTACTTCATTTGCAAGTTTTAGTCAAATGAATACCAATAAAAATGAGTAATTTTTGTATTTTTTGTAACTTAAAGAGACTTTATTTTAACTTGAGAATTAGGGGCGTCCATCCTCTCTCCAACATTGATAAAGAGCATAAACCTGCTCCTAATTATTTTTTGGTCTGCTCTTCTTAAAAATACTTCAAGCGAAAGCAGAATTTAAAATATCATAGGCCATATACAATTATACTTGATGTGGTCTGTTCCATGTTTGCCCCTAGTCCCGAAATTCATAACCCCGACGAAATATAGCCCCCCTCAATAATTCAAAACCCAGTCAAAGTGTCAACAAATTTGATGAAACCCCCTTCCGGGTACCTCTTTATTGGTTTATTAAATTTTTGTATAATTTTTACTTATCTGATTGTAAGTTATAGTAAAATATCTATAATTTGCAGTGATTTATTGATTCAATTTCGCTTGAATTCAAAGCTTCTATAAAAAAAGGGAAGGTTACTGGCGTGGGATCACTTTTCAATGGAACTTTTTCCGGCGAAACAATGTCCATGTCCGAGCGTTCTTACCGATACGCCTTAGGAGTAGAAAAAAAAATAACATTTTTACATTATTGTTTTCTGTGTTTGCTCTACTTGGATTTTTAAGTTTTAAGATGCTAATAGATTTTTTTGTTGCGTGAAATAATAAAAGAAGCTTCCGCTAATGTAGACCACGCAAAGTTCGTCTTGAAAAAACAAGTCAGATTCCTTTTTAGCGTCCATTAAAAATTGAAATGAAAAATATAAATTAATTGTAAATAAATTTTTGGTTTTGATTTAGTTTTTTCTTTTCCGTTCACTAAAGCATGCCTAACTCCTCGAAATTTTCTCCTAAATTCAGTGTTAACACAACTGTTGAAATGCTGAATTGCTCGCCTTTCAAACTGTATCAATATTTCGTAGATCCTACGTCTTTATATGGAATAAAAAAAAAGAAACTTTTCAAAGGTTTTAATTTTATATCTCTAGTTCTAATTAGTTTACGTGGTCTGATTGGTAACAATTTGTGTAGTTTTTAGGCTATAAATGTCATATAATTTTCATGTTCTTGGTGGAGCCATGTTTAAATCATCACAATTAAAAAAAAAATGAAAGCTGGAGCATAGGCGAAACATTTGTCAAAAAAAAAATATATTTTTCAATTTCAATGAAAATTCGTGCTAGCGGATTTTTCGGGGTGCGAAATGGAAACCTCAACTTCGTTTCTCCATAGAAAAATAATTGCTGAAAATTATTCCTTAGTGCCAGTAGCAGATTGCGGATGTAATTTATGGGAGGATTTTTAAAAATTTGGGAGAGTGGTAACTCAGTGGTAGGGTACTGAGCTTTCAATCTTAAAGGTCCCCAGGTTCAAATCCCGACTCATGGCAGAAAATGTATTCATTCTGTTTCATTGGCCGTTGGCGACCTTGGGTCGGGAAACCCTCCTGGGATACATCCAGCCTCTATAAAGTGGGTACCCTTAATTAAATAATTAATTAAGGGGAATAATTATTTAATGAAGGGGCAAAACCTGGCGGTTGAGCGTGATCTCAGTCAAATCACCTCCTTGCACAACCGTTGACCTAGAAACAGTGATTTCCCTAAATAGTACTGAACCCTATGATGGAGACCCATCATGGGTTGTAGTGGTACTGGTTCTTCCTTTTTTTTTTTAATTAATTAAATTTAACCTTTTTATTTTGTTTATTCGTATTTGATAACATCTATTATTCAGGAAGAAAATAATTAAAAAATTATAAAGTGATGTTTGAGTGGACCTTTAAGGCCATATCTATTATAAGTGATTTGAAAGACGTAATCTAAACTGCAAAATGGCCATAACAATGAAGAAAAGTTTCAACGGAGAAGGAGTTCTCCCAGCCTAAAAACAAACAGCTCATAAGTAAGGACA